ATCGGTCGCCGGAGATGGCATTGGCGTACAGGTTGACAGTGCTGGCGGACTCGTCTGCGCGCGCCACAGCACGACCTGGTCCCCTTGAAATACACACCAATATTTACATATCCAGGGAAAAAACCTTAAATAATCCCACAAGCGCAAACGTTATAAATCAACTGATACTTTTTTCAATTAAAGAAAATACGTTAGACGTAAATTGGGCATAAAAAGGTGCACGACAGAAAATCAGTGTATATGCTTTCCATAAAATATATTAAAACACATAAAAATATTCGATAAACATTTAAAATAAATGGAATTTTTAAAGGATGGGGGATTTAGGACTGGCGACGCCAGGAAGCTTAGTCGAAATACAGCAGCCTGTGTGTGCCCAGTACGGAATTGTCTGTGTGCATGTTTTAGAAATACCACCTGATCACGCGTTCCATGGACATACAACTATGCAATTCGCGTGTCCTTTGAAAGGGATTTGCATTTTTTCCTCTCCTCAAAGTGTTTTTAACAGACACGGTGGTACGTACAAACTATATACACAGGTAAAAGCGGCCTAGCAAGAAAGTCCTACCCAACAAAGTAAGCCAAACTCGCAGACGTTTTCTTAAGCGACCTGTCGTAAAGTACACGGTTATTCCTTTCGTATACAGAGGTTGCATATCCAGTGAATCACAGGTATGAACAAGAACCAGATGTCACAACTAATTAAAAACTGCTTTAAGAATACTAAGTCTCTGTTACATCTAATTATTTATGTGTAGACTATGTTGATAGTATACTTCAACTTGCTATTTCATAGTTGTAACGACTGGACCGTACTAGACTTAGTAGTTGATTTTATTTGCTATCGCTGTATAGAGGAGAAGTATCTTTTAGCATTACCATTGTTGCCGATAGAACCGAATATGCGGGTTCTAGGAAGCAGATCAGAAGAAGAGGATGCGATCATTGGAATAGGAACTTTATTTTTCTGATGGTTTCGCCCCAATCTGTGCATGTCTCACACAATTCTACGGTTACATATGATTAGAGATTCTCGACAGAATCCGAACCGTCAGGAATATTCAAATTCTTGTTCCAGTGATAGCCTCTTCTTTTTCCGAATGTCCACCGTTCCCGTGAAACAGAACATTTATGGTGATACTCATAAACTATCCCTACCAATTATCTTGTACGGCACTAAATAATGCCCTGATGTTTTAAATAAATTTCTTCTGTATAAATTCAATTGTTTTTTTGTATTCTCTCATCCATTATTGATGGTATACAGCGATAGAATGCAACTGATGAGTAGTCACGCAATTATTGGATTCACTAAATCCAGCATTACCTGCAGTCAGGTATAAAAGCCGAAAAAAAGAAATAGCCCACGCATCTTGGCTGACTGGGTTATTGCACAGAACAACCATAGGCGCGCTCTATCCCCAAGCCTGCCGGCATTTTTCTACCATTTACTCTGCACTGTAACCTTAAATTGTCTGCAACTTTGATGTGCCGCTACTAGGCAGCGCTGTAAACTTTGTGGACTTGAAAAAAAATACAGTCACTGTTGCCGCCCGGTATTGTGAGAATTTTGAAAACTTGTTACATTTTCCAACTTAGGAGACACAGGCAGAAACACGGCCGAAACTACGGCTCTGTCAAACGCGCACTTGTAGGCGAACTTGTCAATTGCAACGGAGAGATGGAGTGGTTGAGCATCGCAGGTGTACAAATTCCGGTCGTCTTCAGGAAGCAGGTCCACGTCGTGAAATATGAAGCAGGAGTAGGGATGGCGTTTGGAGGCCTCCAAGAATCCGATATTTAGCAGGGCTCCACGGTTGAAAAGTTTCGGATGGCGCTGACGAGAAGAGAGAAAACAAAAATAAATGACTCCTTAGCTTACTAGTCAAAAAACCCTACTCAAGTGTAATTACCACTAAGGATTGTTGGAATCCAATAAGTAACGGAAAGTTCAAGCAAAACTGTCTTGTAGGGCACCCTAAATATTTACTCCCCCACCCAACAATCTTATGGAATTGGTGGTTGAACATTTACTTCTTGGTAAACGAGTGTGAATGACTTTTTAAAATGTGTTGAAACTGATCACAAAATATTAAACTAAAGCCACTTATAATTGCTTTAATGAGCTTAATATAATCAACTCCATCAACATTAACTCCTGTTGCATGGACAATTGATGCCTATTGATGGAAATTCGACCTTATATTGGTGGAATTTAACAAAAAAGGAAAGTCGGGCCTCTGAAAACGTAGAAGTAGTTTATTATTACAAGTCAAAGGCAAATAGGACCTCTAAAGACATTCCTACTAAAGTTCATCTGTAACCGTCGTGGCTTAGGACCTCGCGTTTCATTAAGAACTAACATGTCAATGTCGTCATTACTGTAGTATAAAGATGCCGCCAGTCGTTTACTTATCAAAATCGATTGTTTATATACATATAGACTAAAAGACCTAATTCGTCAAATGTCGAGATAAAAATCTGAGTAGATGCTATAGCACAGAGTTAGGGGCTATTTTTGTTTGTTGAATTGCTTTGAGCCGCAAA